CCCTCTCTCTCTCTCTCTCTCTCTCTCTAAAGCACTCTCCCTTCTCTCTAAAATATCAGAATTTGTACTAAAAAATGACCATTTGTGTGTATTTAACGAAGTTGTGTCGGGTTGTAAAAACCCAAAAATGAAGCTCCGAAATAGTTTATGCGATCGCATAATCAATATGCGGACTGCATATCGGTCGCATAATTACTGACCAAAACAACCAAAAATATGTTTGTGTTTGTGGTCACTATGTGGTCCGCATAACTGTTATGCGGTCGCATAATGCACCACAGAACAATTATGTGGTCGCATAGTCGACCACATAATTGCTTCCAGACCGACCCTCTCTTGCCTCACTTCTGCGGCCCGCAGAGTGGTTATGCGGTCGCATGACGGACCGCAGAAATACATTTTTTCGCTAAAAAAATTCGTTTACTTTCTGGTGCATTGTTCAACCCAAAAAATCCTCAAACACGTATACCTACTCCGGCACCACGAAACCTTAAATTCATTTGCGAAGTTTTACGGGGCTTTACACTTAAATACTTCAAAATTTTCCGGGGTATTATATTATAAACCTCGCAAAGCCTGGTCTGTAGCACAGTTTTGGGTACTTGATACTTTTGCGTTATTTTCTTGCATTTTTATCCTATTTTTTTGCAACTTTCATTCGACGATTTCTTCCGATGTTCCTACACATAAAACAACATAATTTAGCTCAAATGTCGCACAACCACTCACTAAACCAACAAAAATATAGGGAGAGTAATGTGCTAAGGGGTCGTTTGGTTGCTTGTTAGAGTTATGCAGGTATTAGTTATACATGTATTGGTTATGCAAGTATTAGTTATGTATGTATTAGTTATGCATGAACAAGTAATACACGGATTAGTTATGCAGGGATAAGTTATGCAAGGTTGAGTTATATTGAGATTAGTTATGCATGTATTAGTTATGCGATAGTTATATAAGGATTAGTAATATAAATGTAATTTGAGTGTTATTTATTATTAGCTTACTTTATTTTATTAAAATTGTTAATATAGTTTAAATATATATTTTTAAATAAAAAATACAAGTTTGAATAAAGGGTATTCTTGTCATTTTATATTTTAATACAAGTATTACTAATACATGTATAAGTTATTCCACCTTTTACCCTGCATAAATAATACATAGATTCTCTCATAGCTTATACATGTATTAGTTATGCAGAAAAGAAAAATATGAACTAAATATTGTATTAGCAATGCTACATTTTATGTGAAAAAGAGGAAAAAACAATCAAACATTGTATAACTTATGCTAACTTCTATGTGGAGATTATTTTTTCCCATTCTTTTAACCAAACCATGTATAAAGTTATCCTAGTTTTAATACATGAATAACTCCTCTCTAATCGGCTACCAAACGACCCCTTAGAGTATAGCATTTTGGCCTAGCTTCCGTTAAAGTTATTCATTTTTATTTTCTGAAAAATTGAGGTTGTTTCCATTAAAGTTTCCATGACCTTTTCTTCATGCTCTTTTTTCTTGTGAAAATGCTTACCCGGAAT